GGGAATTGACAAAGTGGAAATAAATGAAATGTTCACACGTAATAATAACAGAACGAGGGGACATGGGTGGAAACTGGAAACTCAGATGAGTCACAGAGATGTTAGGAAGTTTTCTTTTAGCGTGAGAGTAGTGGAAAAATGGAATGCACTTAAGGAACAGGTTGTGGAAGCAAATACTATTCATAATTTTAAAACTAGGTATGATAGGGAAGTGGGACAGGAGTCATTGCTGTAAACAACCGATTGCTGGAAAGGCGGGATCCAAGAGTCAATGCTCGATCCTGCAAGCACAAATAGGAGAGTACAAATAGGTGAGTACACACACACAACCTATATATTATGTGAGAAATCTTTAAAGAATTCTGATAAAGAAAGAGATCTAGGGGTGGTTCTAGATAGAAAACTATCACCTGAGGACCACATAAAGAATATTGTGCGAGGAGCCCATGCCACGCTTTCTAACTTCAGAATTGCTTTTAAATACACGGATGGCGAAATACTAAAGAAATTGTTCACAACTTTTGTTAGGCGAAAGCTGGAATATGCAGCGGTTGTGTGGTGCCCATATCTTAAGAAGCACATCAACAAACTTTAAAAGGTGCAAAGACATGCTACTAAGTGGGTCCCAGAACTGAAGGGCAAGAGCTACGAGGAGAGGTTAGAGGCATTAAATATGCCAAAACTAGAAGACAGAAGAAAAAGAGGTGATATGATCACTACATACAAAATAATAACAGGAATTGATAAAATCGATAGGGAAGATTTCCCGAGACCTGGAACTTTAAGAACAAGAGGTTATAGATATAAACTAGTTAAACACAGATGCCGAAGAAATATAAGAAAATTCACTTTCGCAAACAGAGTGGTAGACGGTTGGAACAAGTTAGGTGAGAAGGTGGTGGAGGCCAAGACCGTCAGTAGTTTCAAAGCGTTATATGACAAAGAGTGCTGGGAAGACGGGACACCACGAGCGTAGCTCTCATCTTGTAACTACACTTAGGCAATTACACAAAGTATCACCGTGGATACTAAAAGAGGCAGCGCAGGCCCTCAGCGTGCCTCTGGCAATGATCTTTAATGAGTCACTTATGTCGGGAGAATTGCCCAGTTGCTGGAAGAAGGCAAATGTCGTAACGATTTTCAAGAAAGGCGATAGAGAGGAGGCACTTAACTACAGACCCTTATCACTGACAAACATCCCCTGCAAAATACTTGAAAGAATAATTATGCTACGACTGGTTGCACACCTGGAGAACGTTAGGTTCGTAAACAAACATCAACATGGGTTCTGGAAAGGGAAATCGTGCCTAACAAACCTTTCGGAATTCTATCATAAAATAACAATGATAAGGCAGGACAAAGAAGGCTGGGCGGACTGCATGTTTCTAGACGGCCAGAAGGCCTTTGATACAATACCGCACATGAGACACACAATGGTAGGGGGCGAAAAGTCGGACTGGCGAATAGTAACGAGTGGAGTACCTCAAGGATCGGTTCTCGGACCAATCCTCTTTCTTCTTTACGTAAATAATATGTTTACAGGAGTGGAATCCTATATGTCAATGTTCGCGGATGGCGCAAAATTAATGAGAAGAGTCGTGACAGATGAGGATTGTAAGATTCAGGTCCAAGAGGACCTGAATAGGTTGCAGAGATGGTCAGAGAAATGGCTACTGGAGTTCAACACGAGTAAATGTAAAGTTATGGAAATGGGATCAGGTGATAGGCGGCCAAAGAGACAGTACACAATGAAAGGGGCTGCCTACCTGTGACGATTCGAGAAAGAGACCTGGGTGTGGACGTAACACCTAATCTAACTCCTGAGGCACATATAAATAGGATAACGACAGCAGCGTACTCTACACTGGCGAAAGTGAGAACTTCATTCAGAAACGAACAAATCCACAAGAGCCGTGACAAGGACTCGAACCTGCGTCCGAGAATGGTACTTTCATTCACAAACCTAAGTGAGAAGGCTTTTAGGGCGCTTTACACTGCCTCCGTGAGACCAGTTTTACACTGCCTCCGTGAGACCAGTCTTAGAGTATGCCGCACCATCATGGAGCCCCCACCTGAAGAAACACATAAGGAAACTGAAAAAGGTTCAGAAGTTTGCGACGAGACTTGTCCCAGAGTTTCGAGGGATGGGATATGAAGAGCGCTTGAAAGAACTGAACCTTACGACACTAGAAAAAAGAAGGGAGAGAGGGGATATGATAGGAACATATAAAATACTCAAGGGAATTGACAAAGTGGAGATAGATGAAATGTTCACACGGAATAGTAACAGAACGAGAGGACATGGGTGGAAGCTGGAAACTCAGATGAGTCACAGAGATGTTAGGAAGTTTTCTTTTAGCGTGAGAGTAGTGGAAAAATGGAATGCACTTAAGGAGCAGGTTGAGGAAGCAAATACTATTCATAATTTTAAACCTAGATATGATAGGGAAATGGGACCGGAGTCATTGCTGTAAACAACCGATGACTCGAAAGGCGGGATCCAAGAGTCAATGCTCGATCCTGCAGGCACAAATAGGTGAGTACACACACACCCTGCACTACGCAACATAAGGGTGAATTTCCCAATAAAAACTGTCAATTATACTTGCTTCATACAGATACTTGTTCTCTATTAGCACTCTCTTGCTCCCAGTGGGGGTATTGTTTCCTTAGGGGGACATTGTTCGTCTGTCAGTATAACACCCCAACCCCCCAACCCCCCGACGTCTACCCTCCCCTGCACCCCATATATGTGGCCCAGACCTCCACCACCCCCACCCCCACCCTCCCCTCCCCTCCCAGGTGAACCCATCCCAGCACCCATCCCAGCACCCATTATCACGGTTATCTAAGGTTCCAGAGGTCTCCCCCACCCCCCCCATACAGCTGGGTCTAGGTTAGGTTAGGCACAAGCACACAGTACTGTGCTACTATGCCAAATGCACACAGTACTGTGCTACTATGCCACATGTGCACAGTACTGTGCTACTATGCCACATGTGCACAGTACTGTGCTACTATGCCACATGTACACAGTACTGTGCTACTATGCCACATGTGCACAGTACTGTGCTACTATGCCACATGCACACAGTACTGTGCTACTATGCCACATGCACACAGTACTGTGCTACTATGCCACATGCACACAGTACTGTGCTACTATGCCACATGTACACAGTACTGTGCTACTATGCCACATGCACACAGTACTGTGCTACTATGCCACATGCACACAGTACTGTGCTACTATGCCACATGTACACAGTACTGTGCTACTATGCCACATGCACACAGTACTGTGCTACTATGCCACATGCACACAGTACTGTGCTACTATGCCACATGCACACAGTACTGTGCTACTATGCCACATGCACACAGTACTGTGCTACTATGCCACATGTGCACAGTACTGTGCTACTATGTACACAGTACTGTGCTACTATGCCACATGCCACACACAGTACTGTGCTACTATGCCACATGTACACAGTACTGTGCTACTATGCCACATGTACACAGTACTGTGCTACTATGCCACATGCACAGTACTGTGCTACTATGCCACATGTACTGCACATGCCACATGTGCAACTATGCCACATGGACACAGTACTGTGCTACTATGCCACATGTACACAGTACTGTGCTACTATGCCACATGTACACAGTACTGTGCTACTATGCCACATGGACACAGTACTGTGCTACTATGCCACATGCACACAGTACTGTGCTACTATGCCACATGTACACAGTACTGTGCTACTATGCCACATGTACACAGTACTGTGCAACTATGCCACATGGACACAGTACTGTGCAACTATGCCACATGTGCACAGTACTGTGCTACTATGCCACATGTGCACAGTACTGTGCAACTATGCCACATGGACACAGTACTGTGCAACTATGCCACATGTGCACAGTACTGTGCTACTATGCACAGTACTGTGCAACTATGCCACATGTACACAGTACTGTGCTACTATGCACAGTACTGTGCAACTATGCCGCATGTACACAGTACTGTGCTACTATGCACAGTACTGTGCAACTATGCCACATGTACACAGTACTGTGCTACTATGCCACATGTACACAGTACTGTGCAACTATGCCACATGCACACAGTACTGTGCTACTATGCCACATGTACACAGTACTATGCTACTATGCACAGTACTGTGCAACTATGCCACATGTACACAGTACTGTGTGTACTGTGCAACTATGCCACATGTACACAGTACTGTGCTACTATGCACAGTACTGTGCAACTATGCCACATGTACACAGTACTGTGCTACTATGCCACATGTACACAGTACTGTGCTACTATGCACAGTACTGTGCTACTATGCCACATGTACACAGTACTGTGCTACTATGCCACATGTACACAGTACTGTGCAACTATGCCACATGTACACAGTACTGTGCTACTATGCACAGTACTGTGCAACTATGCCACATGTACACAGTACTGTGCTACTATGCCACATGTACACAGTACTGTGCAACTATGCCACATGCACACAGTACTGTGCTACTATGCCACAGGTACTCACCACTGGGCGCGGGGCCACGAGGACTACTGTGCAACTATGCCACATGTACACAGTACTGTGCTACTATGCACAGTACTGTGCAACTATGCCACATGTACACAGTACTGTGCTACTATGCACAGTACTGTGCAACTATGCCACATGTACACAGTACTGTGCTACTATGCCACATGCACACAGTACTGTGCTACTATGCACAGTACTGTGCAACTATGCCACATGTACACAGTACTGTGCTACTATGCCACATGTACACAGTACTGTGCTACTATGCCACATGTACACAGTACTGTGCTACTATGCACAGTACTGTGCAACTATGCCACATGTACACAGTACTGTGCTACTATGCCACATGTACACAGTACTGTGCAACTATGCCACATGCACACAGTACTGTGCTACTATGCCACAGGTACTCACCACTGGGCGCGGGGCCACGAGGACTGACCATTGAGCAGTCTGAGCTTGTCGTACATGGGCTCCTGTGTGGGCGTGTGGGCGGGGGTGGGCGTGGGCGTGTTGGAGTTGGCGCCGCCCACAGTCTGGCCCCCGCCCGCTGCTGCTACACAGCCCCCTCCACCACCTCCAGCACCCCCACCACCAGCACCAGCGCCGCCCGCAGGGGGCGCCGCCCCTCCTGATGGCGGGGTGGGCGTCGTCTCCTTGGTCGTGATGTTCCGCAGCACCCGGTTGATGGATGACACCTGTGGGAGAGACGCACACCTGTCACACCTGTCTCTGGGGGCACACCTGTCTCTGGGGGCACACCTGTCTCTGGGGGCACACCTGTCTCTGGGGGCACACCTGTCTCTGGGGGCACTAAGGGGGAAGAGAGATGAAGAAAGGGTGAGGGAAGGTCAGGGAGGGTGAGGGAAGGTCAGGGAGGGGTGAGGGAAGGTCAGGGAGGGTGAGGGGCGGACAGGGAGGGTGAGGGGCGGACAGGGAGGGTGAGGGAAGGTCAGGGAAGGGTGAGGGAAGGTCAGGGAGGGTGAGGGAAGGTCAGGGAGGGTGAGGGAAGGTCAGGGAGGGTGAGGGAAGGTCAGGGAAGGGTGAGGGAAGGTCAGGGAGGGTGAGGGAAGGTCAGGGAGGGTGAGGGAAGGTCAGGGAGGGGTGAGGGAAGGTCAGGGAGGGTGAGGGAAGGTCAGGGAGGGGGTGAGGGAAGGACAGGGAGGGTGAGGGAAGGTCAGGGAGGGTGAGGGACGGTCAGGGAGGGTGAGGGAAGGTCAGGGAGGGTGAGGGAAGGTCAGGGAGGGTGAGGGAAGGTCAGGGAGGGGTGAGGGAAGGTCAGGGAGGGGTGAGGGAAGGTCAGGGGAGGGTGAGGGAAGGAAGGTCAGGGAGGGTGAGGGAAGGTCAGGGAGGGGTGAGGGGGAAGGACAGGGAGGGTGAGGGAAGGTCAGGAGGGGTGAGGGGCGGACAGGGAGGGTGAGGGAGCGGACAGGGAGGGTGAGGAAGGTCAGGGAGGGGTGAGGGAAGGTCAGGGGGGTGAGGGAGAGTCAGGGGGGTGAGGGAGCAAAAATGAATAAGTATTTACATATAACATTAATGTTGTAAATCAGTGAGTGTATATACACCTGGCCAGAGGGGCGGGGATGGAGCCAGGTATTACGGCCACATGTAAACATGACTAAGGATACCGCAGCACTATATATACACCCTCACCACTGCCGTGTTTGTACAGGTCTGAGCTCAATTCCCCGGTACAGCCGCGGGGTTCCACCTGTCGTGTTAATTAAGAGACCGGGCCCTCAGCTCCAGCATACCAACGGCACAATGCCTGGCTTCCAATACCCTTCTATTATTTAACAACAAGTGCAAAATTACAAACAATCACAACACGACATCTGCGCGTGATTGTCACTTGTTTGTAGTGTGTGTGGCGTCCCGGGGCGCGGGGGGGGGGCCCTCAGACCTCGCCCTTTGTGGCTCCAGGAGCAGCCCCCCGCGCTCACAATGACCCCCCCCCCCCCCCCCCCCCCTCCTCTCACAATATTCTCACACACGGCCGCCTGGGAACTGTCCTGGGGGGGGGGGGTGATGGTGGTGGTGATGGTGGTGTGGTGGTGGTGTGTAGTGGTTGCAGTGGCTGGGATAGTGATGGTGGTGGAGGATGAGGTGGCGCTGCTGGTATTTACCTAACAGTGTCTAAGGTCAGGTCAGGTCGTTCTGCCTCGCCTCCTTCATGGTATCTGGCCCCAAAGGTGCGGCTGGAGGTGGCTTCCACAGCCTCCTTCAGTGCACTTCACACATTGACTCCCCACACAGCGTCTGAGGCTTCCCTTACAGTCCTTTGGCTCATTTGCGTTACCAGTCTCCACCTGTGTCCTTTTGTCCCGCTTTCTCCTAATATCTTATATGAAGTGATCATATCTCCTCTGTTTCTTCTATCCTCTAGAGTTGTGAGATTTAGTTTGACTAGCCAGTTCTCGCAGCTTAGCTCTTTTACCTCTGGCACCAATCTTGTAACTGCAGTGTCATCCAGTGTTTCTTCCAGCTTTTCATCTCACATCCTTGGTCTTTGCACTGCTTTTACTGTTGTGTTTCTGAAGTCTTCAGTGGAGCTCCTTACATACCTCATAAGCTTCTTCTGTGAGAATTCTCTCTTGTCTTCTCAGAGTACATGGACTCAGTGGTGTTCTCACTTTATATGGCTGTAGAAGAGCTTTAGTAGGACCTTAGCTTTTGCAGCTATGTCATTTTCAAATTGGCTCTCAGCTTCTCTCCTAACTCAGGTGTATTAATTGTTGGCTCTCTTTAGTGCATCTTTATTGTCCTCCGTTACTAGTTCTCCATACTTTATCCTGTTTTGTTGGTCCTTTCCTTAGCTTCCCTCCGTTGTCTAGTGAAGCAGTGGTTTACTTTACTGTTACACGGACACACTACCAAGAAGAGGTTCACTCTCATATGCTGTCTTCTCTTTCATTTGTCGTTCCAATAGAATTTCAAGCAGAAAGTCCCTAACCTTATATTAGTCGCCACGTCTGCAATTTCTCTTCTTCAAGAAGTTTCTTATTTTAACCAAGTCCTTTAGCTCTACTAACAGTGTTAAGGATGAATGCTCTGTATTTAACAAAGGTTAAATACAGAGCACCATCAACACCTGCCACCTTTAGGGACCACACCAGGTCCACAGTTGCTGGCGGGTCCTCTACTCTTAGTGTTGTTGCTTCTTTAATTTGCTGCTTTAAGAAGTGTTTGTCACTACCTCTACTGGAGGTGGGGGGGGGAGGTTATCCAGTCTCCTTGCCTGAGGTTAAAGTCCGCTACTACGGGCTCACCATAGCCCGTGCTACTCGGAACTTTTTGTTCCAAGTAGCAAATCTTAAACAACAAACAACAACAAAGTCCCCCAATATCAGGATTTTAGCTCTTGTTCACCTTGCCACTGTGGCCACCTTTCCCAATACCTTTAAACAATTCTCTTTGTATTCGTCATATTCTTGGCTAGACCGTCTGTTATTTGGTGGGGGAGTGTGACTCACCACTACCACTATCTTCATGTCTCTTGCTGCTGATGATAGTCCGAGTGTGAAGTGTTGCTGGCCACATTCTTCTGCTACTGTTACTTCTTTAATGTTCCGGTGTAACTGGAGCACCAAGGCTACACCACTCTACCCCGCCTCTCCTCACCCTGTCTCTCCATATTATTTGATACCCTCGCGGGAAGATTGTATTTCTTATAACACTTGTCAGTTTAATTTCTGTTATAGCAATCATGTGTGGTTCTTCTGCCACTCTTGTCTGTAACTCTACCGCTTTATTTGTAATTCCATCTGCATTTGTGCACATTACTTTTATGTTATGCATCACAACTGGGATGTTTTTGTTTTTCCCCAAGAGGTATTTGTTCATGTGGCTGCCTTTCTGTGTCTGATAGGGAAAGGAAGGGGCACGATGACCTAGTCACTCATTCCTGCTCATTGGTGTAGTTGCCTTGTTAAGCTGGGCAGCTGTACTATCTGTGTGACCTCATTAAGCTGGTGAGCCACACTCTCCCTGTGTTCTACTCTCTGCTCTCACACTCATTTCTTCCTGTGTATTGTTTGTCCCATTTTCTGATCACATTGTATTCCTCACTTGACTTTCTCCCCTCACTCTCTTTACTCCCTCCCTATCCTCCTTAGATATATCCTGTCTAATAACAACGGCATGGTACTTGTCCTCATCCTCATACCAGTGCAACAGGTACTCTGAGAGAGAACTATCAACATCAGAGGCCCGAGACTGTTCAACACGCTTCCACTACACATAAGGGCCATAACTGGCCGCCGACCCCTCACAGTGTTCAAGAGAGAACTGATAAGCACCCTCCAAAGGATACCTGATCAACCAGGCTGTGACTCATACGTCAGGCTGCGAGCAGCCGCGTCTAACAGTCTGGTTGATCAGTCCGGCAACCAGGAGGCCTGGTCGACGACCGGGCCGCGGGGACGCTAGGCCCCGGAAGCACCTCAAGGTAACCTCAAGGTAATCCTTATAATCTCTCCTCACTACCAGTATATATTAAAGTTACCAGCCGGCCATAATACACAAGCTTCACTAGTCGATTTCCTTCCCTCTGAAGCTCACCTTGCCTTCAGAAATGTTCTGTTCCCATTGTTGAATCTCTGACCTGAATTAGTTTTTAGAATGTGTTATTTTGGTCTCCCCTGATTTGCCATGCATGTCCTTCAGGGTGTGGAATGTTGCACATAACCACGACTCTTTCCCTGAGCCAGTTGTGGGGTGTACACTCCACTCTACACCTGGCTGTTGACTACAGTCTCTGACATTGCTGTATTAATTATCTTATTTCCCTCTGTTCCTTTTGCTGCATCAGGAGAGGTTTTGTCTGGTCTTACTCCCCAACTCTCAGATACATTCTCTACTTGTTTACTTCTCTCCTCTGTTATCCTACTCACTTCCTGTGTTCCTCTTCCTCTTCCTGCATTATTATTATTCTGTTCTGCACCCCCTTCACACTTGCCCCTCTGAGATTTATTTCGTCCAGTTGTACTTGTTTCACAGCTCATCCTCCGAATAGACAGTACGTTTTAATACTAAATGTAATAAGTACAATCCTGACTATCGGCATAGTACATAAATACACTTAATCGCCAGCATCGCACCAAAATATTGTGAATATTAGAGTTTACCTGAAAGCTGTATAGAAAACCACGACCTAACCTAACCTTGGCAGTGTAGGAGGACAAGCATGTAAACTTACTTCTTAATTACAATTGGAACTTAACCTATAGCTATATTGACATTACAATTTTATAAAGCTAATAAAACAAAACTAAAGTCTTTCAATAAATTATAAAGTAACTCGGGATATTTTCAAATTTTGTACAAAATCTCTATTGATTAATCAAACTGAAAAATAAATTCTTTATATTTAAAATTTGTGTATATAGAATTGAACACGAAAACTTAAACCTAAATTTTTTTAGTGAATTAACAGGAAATGAGGAGAATATATTGGGAGGTAAATGTAAGGGCATAATTAAGTGTTTTTATGTGCTATGCAGACAGTCAGGAATGTACTTATTACATTTAGTATTAAAACATACTGTCTATTCGGAGGATGGGTTGTGTGTCAAGGTGAGAATGCAGAGCTTACAACTCTGTAAGTCAAGGTCACGCTTGGCCAAGGTCACACTTGGCCAAGGTCACACTTGGCCAAGGTCACACTTGGCCAAGGTCACACTTGGCCAAGGTCACGCTT